GTAAGGTTTTTGCTTAGTTTTTAGGTATGCTCTTCTATCTTTCCTCTTCCTCGCGTCTTTTGCCTATCTTCTTTTTTCTCCTTATTTATCTTCTTCCTCTCTACTTTCTCCCTTTTCTCTCCTCTCCTTAATTTTAAAAAAAAAATAGCAGGGAAAACAAAAAACAAAAAGCTACCAAACAAAAGCTCTTCTTTGGCAGTTTCTTTTTATGTATTGCCTTACTGGCATTCGAAAGATATACTGTCTAAAGTCTGAACCTAATCTCTTAAAGTCTCCTATCTTTAAAGCAACTGGGCAGCAGTGTGAAGCTAACTTAAGCGACTACAACCTCCAACTTTTTTGAATTTCTTAACCACTGCCATCAAAGGATTCTGCTCTAACTTAGAAGTGGCCTACCATCATGATTGAGCCTCGTCTCCCACAGGGAAGGCAGGACCACTGTGCAGGTTGGCCTCTTTACTTCTGCCATGAACGGTTTTGTCACCCACTATGACAATATGACAGTAGAATGTGACTTCGAGCCACTGCATCCCTAATCATACAAGCAGTAGCTCACCTTTCAGGCACAAAGTTAACAAGTTGGGTGACATGTTAGCCCCACATAGATCAATAAGTTTATAAGCCAAGTTTCATAACTATGTACGTCTATTTGAGTACCTATCACTCCAATTCTTACCCGTTTTCTATATTAGAAGCACCTTTAAGAAATTAAATTTTTTTTTTTTTTTTTTTTAATGAGTGAAAATTTTGGACCATTTCTTGATTCATAGGTGTCATCATTGTGCTGGGGAAAACTCAGTTTGTTAAACAACTCCTAAAATTCCAACACATTAAGTACTAACCTAAACGATCCAGCTGTGATAAGAAATCCATATGCATAGATGCATCAAAATTCTGTCCTAATAGGCACTAGACATGCATAAGACTAGGCAAATGAAAAATTTACACACAAATGCAAAATTCTGTCCTAATAGGCACTAGACACGTCTTAATTTGGAAAAGCATTAACTGATTGGAACACAGAGCAAATGGAAAATATTACAAATGGAAACAAAAAGAAAATGACACGTTACCTTTCAAGCTCGCCTTCACTGAAAACGTGGTAGTATCTGTTATACACTACGGCACCCTTCTTATCATCTTTCTTTGCAAGGCCATTTGCAAGAGCACAAGCAGAAGCACCACTTACTTCAGCACGATGATATGGTAAGTGCCAGGGGACGAAATATTCTTGTTGATTATTTGCATTTTTTACATCAGTAGAAGCCCCTGAATAACTTTCACTTTGAGAGGTTATTTCCTGCAAACTCTGCATATAACTCTGGCCGGAATCTTTCTTACGCTCTCCAAAACCGTTCTCCTCTGTTTCTGGAATGCTTTCCAATGTGCAGGATGAAGGGCTACGAGCACGTGGACTACCAGGACCTATCCACTCTTCCCCATACTTTTGGGTAAGCGGAGTCCATTTGGCAAGTAGTGATTTATCTTCTTGTTCTACAGCCCAAACTGTTATTAGAACTAGGCCACCCTTTTTCACAACTCGGATCAACTCTTCTATTGCCTTTTTCCTCCTACCCTCTGTACTTAGATGATGTAATACAGCTATAGAGATAGCCGCATCACCAAAACCAGTTCTATATGGCAGATCTACAGCGTCAGCAACCAACACTTCATGCCCTCTATCTGCACAAATTTTGATAAGAGGGCCACTTATATCACAACCGATGAAAAAACAATCAGGATTAAATCCCAAGTACTTCCCATTTCCACATCCTGCATCCAGGACAAGAGATCCTGAAGGTAAGGAAGATAAAAAATTGGCTACTTTTGGCCACTTAGCAAACCGAGTAGAACTGAAATGGGGCGCAATAGCATCATAAACATGATGAACATACTTCTTTTCAATTTCAGGAGTGAATTGCACGTTCAAGGATGAATTTCTCTGGCTGTCACTAGCTAATTCAGATTGTAGGATGTGAGATTCTCCATTGGAATCAAAAGTACACAAACTAGACACACCTTTTACCTTGGCTTCTCTCATAGTACTGAAGATTCCTGAATAAGAAACACTACCAATTATTACAGTGGGAAGATGGAAGGCCTTACTAGAAAGATAAAAGCTTCTACTTGCTCTTAGAACATTACAAAACATCACCTGAAACACTGTATCTAATCATAAATGACCTGAAAAAAAAAAAAACAATGGCTAAGGTCGTAATTTGAAACACACAATTTCAAGATCCTTACGTAGGCCAAAGAACCATAACAGTATATATATGTATGTGTATCCTATGACAGAAATCCAATGAAGAGTAAAAAGGAGAATTTTTTTTTGGGAAAAGCAGAAAAATTGTTTATAGGAGGACCAAACTAGTACATTTTAGCTTTTATTCAAGCAACCGAACCAAATTAGCAGGGAGATGAGCGACACAAATTTCCCTGGTGTCTAAGTTATTGACAAGCTGGACGAGGTTCAAAGATGTTTTGCTTTCCAGAAAACAAGGGCCTAATTACAGTCTATCAGGAAGGAACTCCTACCCCAGCTCTTAAGGGGAAAAAACTATAACCAGTGTGTCCAGGAATTATATCGAACAGCTCGCTGCGGCAGCTTCTCTATTTTGACAAATCATGGCCCCTGAGAAATACAATATGCGCATCCCTAAATGCATAAAAATCCTAATGTCTACGCATTTTGTTGAATACAGTTTCAATCTTTTCCTTTCTTTATTTTCGTGCCACTACTGTCCATATTGATTGAAGAGTGAAATGTGTGTGATTGTGGTTGTCCTACTTTCCTAAGCTTCTTGTTTTGGGAGGTGACTTTGATCAATTAGCAACTTCAATCACAAACCCAACTTTTCATTACCAAATTCAGTGTCTGCTGTTATCATTTGAACTTAGGGTTTCAAAAATTATGGAGATTAACATAATCTTTTATTTATGTTTTGGTTTGGTCAATGGAGATTAAAAGAGTTTTTCACAATAAAAATATCCAGAACAAACATATATTACTGAAAGTCAGCTTAACCACAACTTACATACATAGATACATACATGAATACATACATACATACATATATATATATATATATAGAGAGAGAGAGAGAGAGAGAGAGAGAGAGAGAGAGAGAGAGAAGTGAAGTTGACCTGATCCAGCAGACATGACTGCAGTGAGGGTCAAAAGCTGATTTTTTTAAAAGCGAGGAGCTGAAGAAGTTCGTTAACCAGCGGCTAATCCAATCCGAATGATATGGATTGCTTCCCTTTTGCTTGTCTCGTGTTGAGACTCTGGTGTGTTGAATTAGGGTTTTTCAGAGAGGGAGAGAGACGAAAGAGGGGCAGTGAGAAATTGATAATTAAAATAGATATGACGTGAACAAGTGTAGGGTAAACATACTGAGCTCCACCATACTGACCGTCGATTTGCCATGATTTGACTCACGGATCATGCCACGTCATTTCATTTTGTACAGATGAAATAGATGATAAAATTTGGGTACTGATTTTCTCACTCCCTTTTTATCTACTTACACTCCATTTTTTTAAAAATTTTATGTTTTCACTCATCTTTTGTTCACTTACACTCCCTTTTATCTTATAGTAAAAAGTATTAAAAAAACAAAGGGAGTGTAGGTGGATGGAAGGGGAGTGGGAAAATCACAATCCTAAAATTTTAGGATCGTAGAATTTATAAATTTTTTTTTTCTCCTGTAAGTTTTAGATCTTCTAAGTTTTTAGAATAGCTTAAGGAAAGTGAATATGAAGTATCCTAAGTTGTGAGAAATTGTTGAGTGCAGCGGTGATAACGTCAAGTAGTGTGACTAATCTACATGTTATAATATAAGCGAATGACATAATTGATTTTTCATTAAACCACATAATATATAAGCAAATTGGTAACACCACCTTAACTTGTTTCGTTAATTCTATCGAAATGCTTTTAATTAGATGCTGCCATCTTTTCTTCCACAACTTTCCTTTTCGTGCTTATGTGAGTGTCCCAAATTCCAATAATTCATGAATGGCTGACCTTTCTAAGAAATTTGATAGCAATTCACAGAGGTCTCAAATTTCTTGCAGCATATTCCTGGTATTATGAAACCCATCTACACAGCTGGAGACATTGTGTTTACTTTGAGGGTCCAACTTTAATTGTATGGTTTTTTTGTTCTGTCTATGGTGCTGTAGGTGTCAAAGGAAAGTCCCTCCACTATCTGCTGATGCTGATTGAGCCTTCTGGGTTTGGTGAAGATGAGAACTTTCCAAGTCTAGATGGTGTGGAATTCCACACCAGAAGATTCAAATTTCTCTCAACTTTACCTGCATTGCAGGACTACTTGGTATGAAATTTACTCGTCCAGTCAAGGTACTATTTTCTTGTAAAAAAATCTTACCTAAAGACTATGAAGAGGCTCCACATATTAAATATGCTTCTCAAGTGTGTACGTTTCATTTACTTCTCGAGACCATGCTAAATGCTATAGTTTGAGCAACGTACTAGTCATTTATTATCATTATCGAAAATAATGTTCAAGCCAAATGTTCCACGACTCCTCCAAATTACTGAAAGGTTCTGTAGCAGCCAAGTCAGTCCCCACAAGATCGTACGTACACAAATTTTTTTGTGTCACGTAAATGGCTTCTGGTTTTGATTTATATCAAGGTACTGTACAATCTAGATTCCAACTAACACGTGGCCCCATGACTTTTCTTTGTGTTTGGAGCTTTTTGTAGACATTACTACATTGTAATTCCATACCAATCGATTTGGAAAAAATGGTACGTTCAGGGAAACTTATGTACAAGTTCATTGTATCGAGACTTCTAAAGACATCATTGTCCAAGAAGCTGTATCGAAAATAATGCAAAGAATCATGATCCTGATGGCTGTCACGAGGAGCTTCATTTTACGTTTGTTTGCATCTGGGAACTAGCTTAGAAATGATCAGAGGTGCAGAAGGCTTCTTAAGGGCTATGAGGCATGTTTACTGTGTGTGGAAACTCACCCTCGAGCCCGACTATATATATTGTTATTAATGCAGTTCGTAGTACCATACTCGAATATACCACTATTCCTCTGTGTTGATATTCATATCGCTACAACAAATGATGCATTATCTTCAACTGTCATCACGTATTTGCATGCCTTCTTGCATTTCATCACAACCTAAAACAATCTGGACCAGGTTATACATTGTTAATAGATGCATAAATTGTTCACTGATGTTTTCTTTTGTTTCTTTTGGGCCATGTTTTATGTAATGAACTCATTTAGTTGCATTATTGTTTTATGGATTATTTACAGTTCAACGTCTGGAAATGAGATGAGAGTTGGTAAGTTGTTACAATCTCAAAACTTTACTCATCATTTCTGCAACTTGGAAAATGTTGGTGTACTAATATATGTTCATGTTATCGATATCGTTATGCAAAATTGTTTTCATGTGTCACAAATGACTAAGCAACTAATAAGCAATGCAATGCAATCACAGGTCATTGCACAAAAGTCTCACGCAGTGTCAATATGGAGAACCTGCAAAATGAATATCTGTTTCCGGAGGTCAGCAGCTTCTGATATCTTGATTATGAACTTTGGCCCTCCTATCACTTTATATCATGCAGTTTGTCTCAAACTAATTGTCTGGATTGGTGTTCCACAAACCCCAATTGTTTTAAGATTTCTTGTTTTGGAATGGGAATTTACAGCATCCTCATGAGTAGGATCAAACCTTATTCCACCTGGTTGGAACTTGGAACTATTGTTATTTGTGATAACAAAATTATCTTTTGGTTGTGTGACTTAACCATTTGAGTGCTAATTTTTCTACGTACCTTGTGGCCGCTTATCCAGATATTCATGCGCGAGTTTGTGCATACTCAGAAGTACCCACATGCAAGATTAATAAGACTTGGTGTTGGTAATACTACAGAACCTATACCAGACATAATCACATCTTCTATGGCTGAGGTAATTTTGTGGATCTCAGATTGTTGTACGTAATTTTTCATCTGAGTAAAATTTGAATCTAAAACCTTTTCAAACAGCACCATGCCTTACCACTTGAGCGAATGCCTGACAACACAAATACAAATAATAGTATGCTGGTCCTGTTGATATTACTTTCCAGTTGAACTGTTCTTTTATTTTTATCATTAGTTTCCATTTCCACTATAATCCAATATTTGGGAAAGTAGTGACGAGTGCATGTCTTCATCGTATACATCTTCTCTTTATAACCTACTTGTAGATGTAGAGATATAAAACTCTTTGGTATATGCAAACCTCTTTGGCAGTGGATCTTCACTAGCTTTTCTTCACCCATTAGGACCGTTTCGTTTCATTTCTTTTACTTTTTTGCTTTCTGTTTATTGCTTTGTTGGAGTTGAAAGAAACAGAGAAAGAACAAAAACTTGTCATTTTCTTTCTTGATGACTAAGTTGTACTGATCTTTTTTTCATTTGGTTTCTTGTCAACGAATATTAAGCTCTTGTGTTTCTGTGTCTACTTTGCAGCATGCACATGCTCTATCAACAGTTCGAGGTTACAGAGGGTATGGAGCTGAGCAAGGCCACATGGTACGATGGAACCTCTGGTGTTCATTCTGATTTTTATTCTTTTTATTCTTTCTTCTTCTTAACCACAATTCCCCACCTTATTTTCTGCGTAGCCTGGTTGCCGCCCTCATTCACGACATTGATTTTGAATCTAGACTTACCCACCCTTTAAGTGGCATGTCATTGGTTGATGAAGTCAAATTGTGAACCACATATGTCTATTTTCCCACGTGTCTTGGATGATACTGTTGTCACTCTCACTCCAATTACATGGCTGGTGATTTCTTTGGACTTCCATAATAGTGTGGCCCTCAAAAAACTCGTTAGAGCGTTTGTTTTATTTTTTATTTTTATATTAGGCGAGGTGTGCTTAATATAAAAAATTTGTTAGTTTCCTCTTGGGAAAAAAACATCTCTTGTTGTGCTGGTAGAGTGCCTTGCTGCGATGGCTACCTCTTCACTCTAAGAAAGTCATCAACATACAATCTGGAAGCAACTATTCTGCTTGTAGGAAAGCTTAATGGGTGTGTAATGGTCACACTTTGGTATCTGCTTATTCTTTCAGAGAATCATTTTGGGAAAGATACTATAAATTAGGATCAACTATACCTTACAACTCCCGCAGTTTGAGTAAAATTTCATGTTGGTCATGATGTTTCTGCTGTTGCCATTCTTCTCCATGATTATTATTAAGTATGTCCATCTACCTATTTTTATTTAACAGAGGTTATCAAATTTGCTGCAGGAATTAAGAAGGGCAATTGCAGAAAAATTCTACAACAATATGGGCATAGAAGGCGACGAGGTTTTTGTATCAGATGGTGCACAGTGCGACATTTCTCGCCTTCAGGTACGAAAACTTCGTTTATGCAGTAAAGCTTTTCATAATTGGATAAGAGTAGAACAAGATAAAGATCTGTTCCTATTTAGGTTGCTTTTAAGATGAAAAGCGTGTTATTAATTCTGACTTTTCCCCCAAGCAGATGCTTCTGGGATCCAATGTGACAGTAGCTGTGCAAGACCCTTCGTTTCCGGTAAATATAAATCGAATCAAATCTTAACCTAATATGTCTTTCTTTAGTTCTAAATTAGGATGAGACATAAGGAAAATAATCAGTGTCATCTCACTCTCAATATTAATTTTCCTTTTTCCATTGAGACTATGGTAGATTGGCTCTTGTGCCTACAGAAACAAGGTTATAGCTGATGTTTATAAACGTCTGAATACTAAATTAAAGCTACATGGAGACCACACATCCCTTATTTTCCCATTGAAATTTTTTGCTAGGAACCTTATTGATTTACTATGTTTTGGGACAGGCATATATAGATTCTACTGTCATTGCCGGTCGAGCTGGCAGGTTTCAAGAGGAAACTGGGAAGTATAAGAACATTGTGTACCTGAACTGCAGGCCTGAGAATAATTTTTTTCCTGATCTATCAACTGCTTCAAGGGCGGATATCATATTTTTCTGCTCTCCAAACAATCCAACTGGCAATGCTGCATCACAGCAGCAACTAAAGCAACTGGTGGAGTTTGCAAAAGCAAACGGATCAATAATAGTTTATGACTCCTCCTATGCTGCTTATATATCTGATGACAGCCCGAGATCGATTTATGAAATTCCTGGGGCCAGAGAGGTTTCTCACTAGTTCTCCTCACCACCATATATCATTTTGTGCTTAACAATACAAAACCTTCTTGTTAAACTTGACATACAAAGGGATTCTCACTGGAAGTTGTTTTGGCCAATTTTGTGCGCAGGTTGCAATTGAAGTTTCATCCTTCTCCAAATTTGCTGGGTTCACAGGGGTCCGCCTCGGATGGACGGTTGTCCCTGATGAGTTGTTGTATGCAAATGGATTTCCTGTCATAAAGGACTATAACCGCATAGTGTGCACCTGCTTCAATGGTGCATCAAATATTGCCCAGGCTGGAGGGCTAGCATGCCTTTCTGCAGAAGGTTACCAGGTTATAATTTACACCCCATTTCTTTTCCAAGCATCCATTAATTCTCTAGTAAGTTAAAATCCAATGCAGTTTCAAATTTTAACCGTTTGTAAGTTGTGCTTTTTACATTTTCAGGCCATAACCACAGTGGTTGACTACTACAAAGAAAATGCAAAAATAATTGTGGACACATTCAGATCACTTGGGTTGAAGGTGTATGGTGGCAAAAATGCACCTTATATATGGGTACATTTTCCAGGGTTGAGTTCTTGGGATGTATTCAATGAAATTCTTGAAAAGACAGACATAGTGACCATACCAGGAAAGGGATTTGGTCCTGGAGGTGAAGAGTACATCAGAGTTGGTGCTTTTGCCCACAGAGAAAGTATATTAGAAGCTTCAAAAAGGCTAAAAACTCTTTTTTAACTTGAATTATGTCATAAATATTTGAACCCAGTCGACAGGTACTTGGAGCAAGAATGACCATCTTCCTGGAGAACTTTATTGGTTCATGAGATGAATTAGGATTGGACAATTATCTGGTGCTGATAAGGAAAAATCTAATTGAACTGTATTGCATTGTTCATAAGATTTGTTTCTTCTCAGCCCATTATTGGTTGTGACTTGAATAAATTGTATTTGTCCTCATTCAACATGGCATCTTGAACCTTCTGGCCTTCTTTCTTTTTTATAGTTTCTTGCACTCTCCAGATGATGATTGAATTATTTACAAAAGTTACAATTTATATTTGTTAAACTTTTTGAGATTGTACCACATTTGTACTTTGACAAGCTGACACATGATTTCATGTTACAAACACGAACAGAAAAATTAAGTGGTTAGTTGGTTGCATGATGAGTTGACACGATAATAACACGCTTATTAACGTTCATTCGCAAAATACTATGAAAATAGGGTTTTTAGGTTCATGGTCTCTGAATTTTCATATAATTCGCATTTTGGTTCCTCAATTTCTAAAATTGTTCACATGGTCCTTCAACTTTAGTTTTGTTAGAACAAATGGTCACGCCGTCATTTTTGTTAACTTTTTATGTTAAATTTAAGGACAAAATGTTTTTTTTGTATTATTTTTAATTTCCACCATATGAATATTCCAACAAAGCTATGGACAACCTCCACCCAACCCACCATCTCGACAACAATTGATGGTGCTCCCCCAACCCACACCATATCCACCCTCCTTGCGATGACGAGGATAGGAAGAAAGTTTTTCATTTTTTATTTTTTGGGTGAAAGGAATATTCACATGGTGGAAATTAAAAATAATACAAATATACCATTTTACCCTCACATTTAACAAAAAAGATAACAAAATTGACGGCATGATCATTTGTCCTAACGAAAGTGAAGTTAAAGGACCACGAGAATGATTTTGGAAACTGAGGGACCAAAATGCGAATCGGGTCAAAATTTAGGGACCATTAGACCTAAAAACCCATGAAAATATTAAGAAATGAAATCATTCATTAAAGAGTTATTTACATAAACACACCCATGAGGTTTTTAGTGTTTTCACAAACCCCTGCGAGGTTTCTAAAATTACATGAACACCCCTTTTGAGATTTCAATTTGTTTTAACAAAACCCACTTGCATTGATTCTTCATCCAAAATTTGATGATTTCATACATAGAAACTTTTGTAAATAACAAATGAACCTCAATGAATGTATAAAAACTTTTGAGATTTCAATTAGCCAACTCATTTTATCTTTCTTGATTCTAAAATTTATTATTATTAAAGTTCTTAATTGTAAATTGCCCAAAAAAAAAAAGACCAAATTTTTTTTTTTAATGGAAAAAAGGGAAACCTTACAAACGGAAGCCACGAGGCCACGCATGTCTAACTAAATCAAAATAAAACAGAGGAGAGCAACCTAAAGGAAGCCCTCGCTCCCATAGGTGGGAAGGGTTCATAGAATGGCCTAAATTAGCTAAAGCATCAGCAATGAAGTTAGCTTCGCGGAAGACATGCTGGAAGGAAATCTCTTCACAGTAAGAACTTAACAGCCTTATATCTTGTACCAGGAGATGAATACTCCAAGGAACTAAAACTTTGTTGTTGCTACAGTCAATAATGAGTTTGGAATCTCCTTCAGCTAAAACTTTGCGCCAACCATTATGGATTGCATGGGCGAGACCATCACGAAGCGCCATACATTCACAACATTTATCGAAATCTGACCCGAATTCTTAGCTCCCGTGAGCCGAACGTTACCATTCCAGTCCCAGATAACAAAACCAGTGGCAGCTAGGTTACCACACACCGAGCCATCAAAGTTCAATTTAATCCAATCGAGGGGTGGTGGTTTCCATTTAATGGCAAGCTCACCTTTGGACTTCTGAGGAGGAGTGGAATTGATTTTCCAATAGTCTAGTCCAATATGATCAGCAACATTAAGGGCTCTAACTGGATGAGGGGCAATGTCTTTAAACACACAATTGTTCCGAGCCTCCCAAATTTGCCAACAGAGAATAAGGGCTTTGGAAAGAATATTTGGGCCATCCTTATCCTTTGTGCGAGGGAGAGCAGCTAGCCATTCTATACCATCAAAATTTTGCTGGGTAGGCGTAGGGATTATTGAGGTACACCTCCATATGTGAACTGTAAACTGGCATTCAAAGAATAAATGGTTAATAGTCTACCAAAAAAAAAAAAAAGACCAATTGTCGAGGGCGAGAGTATATACCTCTTTGATATATAGGAAGAGCTAAAACAGAGCTCCAATTTTTCCAATTTGAGATTCTCGTAGGTTCTTAAAAACAAATCTAAATAACATTAAAAAAGACATTTTTCAGCTAAAAATTCAAAAACCCTAAATAGCGGAGAGTTTGGTGAACCCTAAACTTCAAGAATTTGTCTGAAAATCCATCAATCCAACCATCAATTTGAGTTATTTTACTCTCAATATCAAACACCTTTGCTTGCAGAGCCTCTATCTTTGATTCTCGAACAATGTTGGCCAACAAATCTGGACGATCACCTTGGAAGTGACCGAACTTGTGTCTGTACTAAGCACGTTCGGATTTCACAAAACCCTAAATCCTACAAATTTTTAATTAAAATTTCCAAAATAAATAAAATAAAATCTTACATGTTGTTCAAGTTCTCTGTCAAAATCAAAGTATGCTAAATCCCCAAAGTGGCCGATTGTAATAACCCGATCCTAAATTAATATTTAATTATTAATTTATTCAAGTAAAAGACAATTTTACCCTGAAAATATTTTAATGGTTTAAAAGTTGACTTTTTGTTTGTAACAACCCGGTCTTTAATTAATATTTAATTATTAATTTATTCTAATAAAAGACCACCATATCCCTAGAATATTTTAATAGTTTAAAAGTTGACTTTTTGACCGGAAAAGAATTTGAGGATTTCAGTTATACCGTTGCGTAGAGCGCGACGAAACGAGTTCGTAGACATGCGGCACGCTCGATTATGAGTTGTAATGAAGGAGGAAAGGTCTAGAAACAAAAAGGACGTTTTGGGAATTTCAAAATTTGTCGGTGCTACAGTAATGCTACAGTACCCGGGTCTATTTCTTCTTCCTCCTCGCGAGAGAAACCAGATTTCTGGTTCTCTCTCTCTCTCCGCGCACACTCACCTTCAAGTGATGATTTCGTCGCCATCCGGTATCCGTTTTGAGTGAAATTTGTTGCAAAATTTTCGTATCGATGTCCTCTACCTAACCCAGCCCAGCTCCGACGTTAGCCGCAGCGAAACCGCCGGAAAACTCGAAGGAAGTTGCCGGTTTTGGCAGAATTTCCAAGCTTTCGTTCTCCGTCGTCCGGCCACCAAATCGGACGAGTGAGGTATGGTTTTCTAGCTATTTTCCATGCTCTAGCTGCTGGTTGGATAGGATTTCAGGAATTCCAACCCTAAACACTTCGATTTCCAAGTTAGGTTTCAGCCGGTTTTGAGGGTGCGATTCCGGCCACTTTCGGCCAGTTTTTGGGGTAGGTCCAAGAACAAAAGTGGCTCC